ACTAGCCCGTCTGACAGGGGTATTAATTTCTCATTGAGCCGACATCCACCGAAGTCGTAACAAAATGACATGGTGCTGAATGTCATTTCTCGCTTTCACAATAATAGGCTTAGTTGGACGTCGGCTATAGAGATTTAAAATTTTTTTCTCAATTATCTTTTGCTCCAGGTAACGTCATGTTCTCAAGCTTTCATGTTCCATCCAAACGGCTAGCGTCACATTGTTACAGAGCTTGAGCTTTCTGCGATGCGTAGTTTATTTACCCGGGCCTAAAAACACGGTTCTTTTTTTTATCGGCAACGCCCTGTACTTTAATTTGATACCTTATTTACTCGAGTAATAGCCGCACCGTTTATGAAGAAAACTTGAGGGTTCGCTTTTCCACGGAGCACGCAGATTGCCAATCATCGCGATTGACGGCATGATTCCAGCTGTTTACGGGACAGAGATAACGTCTTCGTGCGAAGATGCCATCTGTGAAGATTGCATTTGTATGGAGAATCGTGTTCTCGATCTGGTTATTCGCTATCTTATTTATGCCTAACGCAATGATTGGCCGTATATGTGTTCTGCGGGAAAGTAGATGCAAGGGCCTTTTTCATAAATAGTGCGGCTCAGATCTATTCGAGTAGGTTTGGAACGCAGCCTCGGTGTGTCGCGCTCCTGTACGATATGCGCCGTTTACTTGCTGCGCTCGGAGTATGAAACTCGGAGCGTCGGAGTAGGAGTAAAGGAGTGCCGACTTAACGCGCCCACTGAGTAGTCGCATAACATGCAAGTACGGCGTACGTGGTCGCATAACATGCAATTACGGCGGAAGCTGCGGCCTGGTGGGTTAATCGGAACGTGACTACGTATCACCGGAGTGCGCTTTTACTGTGAAGAAGTATCAGGCTTTTCGCTGCGTCATGCTCTAATATGTGTGCATTTCGCCCGTCAACGTAGTGGATATCGAAGCCGTCGGTACGCAATGTGGGGCTTATCATTCACCCTTTGCCAAGTTACACCGAAGCAAGGTCTAACCTTGGGCTCATTCTACTGGCGCCGCCAGGCTGTTACCGGCAGGCTATATATACACTGTCACAAAAAATGAAACAGCTAAAAAAAAAAAAAAAATCTCGACGCTGAAAAGTCAGAGCAACCGTCCTTGCACAAACACTAGGGCCCATGTATAGGGCGAGGGTAATTCTGAACAATCACAAAACCAAAATCTATTATCTATTAAAGGTTTAACAAATTTGTGCTATAGCACAAATTTGTTAAACCTTTAATAGATAATAGATTTTGGTTTTGTGATTGTATACAGAACAAGATGCCGAAGGAAAGAGAGTCTTATTGTTGCTAGGCCTCTTTAGTGTGGTCCAAAGGCAGCAGCGGCATATCCTCGGGGTGATGAGAAGTCGTCAGTCCGAAATCGTCGTTCCGTCACTCAAAGAAATGAGATCACACACCACACACAAACACGCAAACCATGCGCCGAACGTGAAAACGAATTTGAATACCTTTGCGCCTAAGCGTAGTGAGAATATGAAGACTCTTCGGGAGATTCTGATGTTCCGTGCAACGAAAAGATTAATCTACTAACGAATTGCATCGGATGCCACCTCGACATGCAAAGCAGAAAGCAAGACGGACTTCTTCGCATCCGCGAGCGACCATCGAGACGGGCGTCTCGATGGAGGGAAATTTCACGAAGTGAGTGAAACATCGCCAAAAATAGGGAAATGTCGGGCGCCCAATGAAGGAGGGAGAAACGTGAAACGCCCGTCACGTCTGCGCTATACAGGCGGTCGCCCTCTGTCCGGAGGCCCCACTCCCAAACGTCCACCGTCACCTCAAGATCCTAGCGACTCTGTGCGTAACAACGGCGGAAACTGAGCGCTCGTTCACTTCACTACGACGGTTGAAAATATACCTGAGAGCGTCCACTTCGAATGAGTGACTGCTCGGTCTAGTGATTTTGAATGTTCACCTCGACATTGAAGTTTAAGCGGTGGACATCCTGGATATTCATTGCCGTGAACGCAAGCGGCTGCATCTTAATATGTAGGCGCTTGGCATAAATGAAATGATCAAGAAAGCCTTTAAATTGCTTTCTGAAATAACTAGTCAAAGTATTCGCGGTAATTTCTAGTCGAAAGTACGTAATTCTGATCAGTACACGAGGTGTGCGTGAGCGCAGCGCCACACGTTGCTTACAGTGCAATTGTTTTTCATTTATATTTCATTAAATATTTCTTATATCACTGACATTGTTTTATATTATCAGCATGTGTGCGTTTTATTATCTCCACTTTAGTTCTTTTACTATGTATTTCAGTGAGAATAGTTTGTAATACTTTGCCTTGAAATTGCCATCCTCCACCCCACAAATGTTTCGAAATATCCGTTCTCTATATATCTGAGATCAACTTCCGCATCCCATCAAATAAGCATAAATGAAGAAATATTGACTATTGTATTAATTTGAGCATTTTCTACCCCACAAGCATTCTTCCCGACAGCATATGAGTTGGAGAAAGTCTGCGCTCCCCCTTTGCTCCGTGCCCCGTGCAAGAACGACTGCGTGAGCATGGTAGCGAGCGGTCCCAATGTGGGCACCGGAGAGGGGGGGGGGGGGGGGGGGATTCGGCATTTCGGGGAGGGTTTCAACTCCCGAACCCCCCTCTGCCTACGCCACTGATTCCAGGATATAGGGCGTTCGCTGACTTCGCGATCCCTGAATGGGTTAGTGCTTGTGTTATCTTTCCGACTTTTACAGCGGTGCTGTTAAAAGCTAGGTAGTAGGTACCCCAGGATCGTGTCCACCAGCAAAGACATGATGACACTGAACTTTGGACAGCTAACGTCATCTATGAGCGACGGCGGCAAACAGAAAACTGGTTGCCGCCGTCGCTCATAGATGGCGGCAACCTTTCTTTGGAGGAAGAAGAGCGGGAAAGGAACGAGCGGGCGATGTGCGCAGCAGTGCGAATGGTTCGGAACCACCGCGAGGCCGCTATCGCCTTAAGTTCCACTGCCGTCGAGGGCTTCAGATTCACTTGCGAAAGAAGAGCAAATCACTCTCCTGGAAAGCCACCGCCGAGAACAGAAGCTACCGCTTCGCTGCTCTTCCTTCTTCACCAAAATAAAAAAGCTGAAACTTTTTTTGTTTTTTTTAACGAACTTTTTTGCAAGCACTTTAAAGTGTAATTTTGTTATCTACATCGTTTTCCTTTCGTTCGCATGTACTCCGACTTTGGGGTCACGGAAACCGGGGAGGAACTGCGTAAACGAAGAGAAATGTCTTTCCCTCCTTCGCTTTCTTTGTCACGGACGTCCTCCAACCGTAAGGTCTACGGTCGCTTCACTCGGGTAGGAGGAATGTTCGCGGATTGCGGAGTCTGCGTTAGGGTATTTGTAAGAGTAAGCAATCACTCGCTGTTTTTTTTTTTTTTTTTTTAAATCGATGGCTTTTCAAAAAGTGGGGTGCGCGATGACTCGAGGTATTGCAGTAGTTTTTTAGACTTGCATATGCTCAGACCTTCGAGCAATCAATACACAATCTAGAGGATCTACTGCCAGTCGGCGCTCCTTTACTCCTACTCCGACGCTCCGAGGTTCATACTCCGAGCGCAGCAACTAGATGACGCATAGCGTACAGGAGCGCGACACACCGAGGCTGCGTTCCAAACCTAAACTCGATTGGATCCGAGTTACCCTGGCGGATTGTGTCACGTGACAACAAAAATAGAAAAACGCTGGACGCGGGTAGGTTTTCAATAACCACCGTTACCCTAGAGTTAGGTCAAGTAAATTTTAGAACACGGCCAGAAACTATCGATGGGCCACACGAGCTCCTTCCGACCGTGAATACGGGTGGCAGAAGCCGAAAATATCTCGAAGATAATTAATTAGGCCCGTGTGGAGCGACAGAGTTTAAAGCAAAAGAGACGGCAACGTTATGAAGTTTCTACGAACGTTTTAATATTCCTGAAAGGTTTGAAGACTCGCTTCGTGGACATGTGTGGAAGGTTACCTGGCCGACCTATCTATTGACCATGCATGCTGTTCCGGTTTAAATTAAAGCCAACATTCTTGAACCCGCTCGTCGACGCAGGAAACCCTCAAATTTGTCAGAGATTTCCTGGTTCCGTCGGTTCCGTCTCGCAGCGAGACGAAAGCTACGCCGGTGACCGGCACACCGTCGTTCGATGGCACGTCAATTCGTTTTTAGGCGGTATGCATGAACAAACCTTTCCAGCAAAGCTAAGTGGTGTTTCGTCTTTCCAATCTAAGTATCTTTATTCGCTGCGGCTGGGCTAAGCATTTTAAGCAGAGCAGCTCGTCTGACTCTCTTTTCATCACAACTTTTTTGTCGCCGAGCTATCGGCAGGCTCGCTCGGTTTCAGGCAAGACGCAGGAACAAACCTCTTCCTCAACGCTCACTGATGTTTCGGCTTTCAAATCGAAGTATCTTCATTCGCTGGGCTAAGCCTTATAAAAGGGATAGAGCGGTTCGAATGTCTCCTCATCTCGACAACGTTTCTGTCGCTGTGCTATCGGCACGCTACCATTTGCTAGGTGAATTTCTTTTTCAGGCGAGATGCACGAATGAACCTTTCTTGGAAGTCTTGGCTTTCAAATCAAATTGTTTTTACTTGCTGGATTAAGCACTAATCAACTGAAAATGGGCAGCGGTTTGGCTATGCCTTTCGTCCCGACGGTCTCAACAGCAGCGCAGCCATCTTGTTTGTTTACGTGACGTCACGGAGCGCGAAGAAGTCACTCGCGCTCCGAGAAATTTGCGGTGCACGAAGAGCGCGCTCGAGTGTCAGTATCTGCCGGTGGCACTCCTGTCCGTTTAGCGAAAGGAGCGCCAAACTCCCGCGCTCTTCAGTGAATGTGAATAGAGGATCTACTAGCACTTTTTTTTGGAATTAGCCTTGGTGTTGAATGACGTTTGTATGATGTTCAAAGTGTCTTTGTTTTAATGTTGGTGACATTCACAATTCCTGCAGGTTTACGACGGAATGGGAACTCAAGGATTTTGAGATTGGGCGACCGCTGGGAAAGGGAAAGTTTGGTACCGTCTACCTGGCACGTGAGAAGTCCTCTAAATTCATCATCGCACTCAAGGTAAGGATGGCCTTTGTGAACATTCCTTGTGCGGCTAAGTTTACAAGCCTCGCAGAGAACCCGTACTTATATAGGTATATGAAAGGTCCACAATGAAAAAAAAAACGAGACTGGGAACACGCAAAAAACAAACACACACACAACGTCTCTCATATAGAGATGGTGTATGTATTTGTCCTGTTTTTAATGCGAAAACATTAACTGTCTCATGGGACGAGCCGACGTCATCAGCCGCGCCAAACGGCTGCTTAATTCCCCTGTCCCAGAGGAGCGATGTGAAGCCGCGTTCTGAAGCCTCTCAGCTTTCAAGCCACGCAAAGAGCCACGCAAAACGTCAGCTAAATTCACCTCTGCAAAAGGAGCGAAGGGAAGCCCAATCCCTGATGGATTATGCTCCCATTGGCAGGCGCGCGTCATCAAGGAACGAGCCTCCCATTGGCTCTCGTGCGGCGTGGTTCCAGAAGTCGCCACCAGAGAAGGCCTTTTCATGGTGGCGCAGCGCACGCGGCGGCCCGGCGAGGTGCAGCGGTGCGAACCTGGCCGCTTGGCCTGGCCACAGAGCCCGCTCGGGCGAACTCGGAGGAGGTTGTACAGCCGAGGTCAGCGCAACTCACGAGAGTGCGCGCTCGACCGTCGGCCGCTACCTCGGCAGCACTGAAACGCCACTACGCCGCAGACGAACTAAGAGAGCGGAAGAACGACCTTCATGTTTTTGCATTCACAACTCATAAGAAGTGCTTAGGTGTCCTCAGAATTTCTTTTTTTCTCCGTTCCCAGTCTCGTTTTTTTTTTTTTTTTTTCATTATGGAGTTAGTTCACCAGCTTGCCTGAGTTTTTTTTTTCCTTTTGTCCTTAGTGTGAGGGGTGTTCAATAATGTATCTACCTGGGTATGAAACAAAGTGGCACACATATGTTTAAACAAGTCTGGCCATGTTGTGACATGTTTAAAGGTTACACATGCACAGTTGCAGCTCAGTGCAAGTCTAAGGTTCGAAAAAAATAGGATGTCAGGGACAGAAAAATACTTGTGCAAATCAAGTATGAACATGTTAGATTTGGAGGAACGTTCAGTGATAAAATTTCTCCCAAAAGAAGGGAAAAGGCCTACCTTGCCGAGTTCTGGATATCATAAAACATGGCAGGTACAGTTAGGCGGGACGCTACAAACCCCCAATACCTCACTCATAACGCAATATTTTGAACGGATGGCCGTATTTCTGGAAAAGAAGGAAGCGATTGAACGAGGCAGACGAGGCCTGCCACGTTCCGGTTCTCATTCCCTTTCCCTTTCGCTTCGTCCTCTCGAGGAGGTGAACCGAACCGAGGACGAGAGACAGGCGGCCGGTTTCTCTCATCCTCAACCATTCCCGGAGAATGGCTACATCACATTCTCCGCTCAATTGCGCCCTTTTTGTGTAAAAATTCGACCATCCTATCGAGATATCGTTGTATGCTGTTTTGGTGTTCGTAGCGTCCTGCTGAACACGTCCGCGGCCTTATCTTGTGAAATTCGAATTTCGGTTCAGTATCCCTCTAAAGGGATACTGAACCGAAATTTCGAGCTCACTAAACAAGGCCGGCCGGATAGGCGGGAAACTGCAAAACCGAAAAATATCACTCATACGGCGATATATCTAACGCATCGCCGCATTTTTTTGGAAAAGAAGTGCGCGATTGAGCCCGGCCGACGAGGCCGACGAGACAAAGCACGTCACGATTCCCATTCTCTCTCCTCCTCGCTACGTCCCGTCAAACTGGTGAACCGAAGCGAGGAGGAGAGAAGCGAGGCCGCTTCTCCTCGTTCTCAAATTCTCCCGGAGGACAGTTACGTCAAAGAACTCGCTTGATCGCGCCCTTCTTTTCCAAAAGTACGGCCATCCGTTTGAGATATCGATGTACGAGTGATGTTTTGGAGTTCGTAGCGTCCGGTTCAACACTTCTGCAGCCTTACTTTGCGAAATCCAAATTTCGGTTCAGTATCCATTTAACTCCTTCAGAGGAGGCATTCCAACCTCTCCCTGTTGGCCTCTTTGCTCCGGGACAGAGTTTTAGATATTTCCAGGCTAGTTAGGCCATGAGGCCGCCTGCCTGCCTGGGTGGACTTGTGCCTCTTTCTACGCGCCTTCTGCATACTCAATTTTCTTTTAGGTAGTGTTGATTCATAGTAATACAAAATATTTTTCAATCAATGCACTACTGTTATTTGAGATGAGCATATTAGCACACATATTCAATCATATTGGGTTAGAATTTTTGAAAATTCCATTTTCAAGTCCTTGAAAACCCTGTAATTTTTAACAGTGCTTGAAAATCCTTGAATTCCAGTGATTTCCATAAATACTTCACGTTTTTACGCCGGTGCTGGGCAAGAAGCGCACTCAACGGGTCTTACTCGCCGCAATGTTTGAAAAGTACAAATATCACAGTCGCGTGCTTAGGAAAAAACCACACTTTCAAAGCGGGATGGTGCACGCGTGAGCCTGGTCTATTCAGAAAGAAACAATTTTTTTTGTGAATGTTAAGATGAGTAATATTTTCAAAATTAAACTGTGGCTGTTTCCCAGAGTTAATGTTAGGCAAATATGCCCTGAAAATCTGAGTTAATCATTCCTAATTCTCTAGTTTTGTTTTTTGTTTTTTGTTTTGTTAATCTGACGTTGAAGACAAAATATTTTCATAGGGCAAGGACATTTATAAATTCCGCAATTAGGTGCAGCTTGGAATCTCTATAGATTTATTTTATGTAAAATCAATCATTTATTTGTCATCTCAGTGCGGGTATCGAATGTTCTGAGTCCACAGTCTATAAATATAGATTAAAATTACCTTAGCTTACAAATGGACAAATGGAAGCTTGGAAACAACCTCCACGAGTTCCGCTAGGCATGTGCCAGGGGAAAACATTTTTTATTATTATTACTTACAATCGCTGAATAAAATTTTCATAGTTTATGGTGCTTGATGATAATGCAATTAATGCAAAGGTGCAAGCGAGCTGGACAAGAATGGCGAAAATAATTCCTGAAGAAGGGGAACAAGGGGGACAAAGGACAAACACAAATATCCAAACACAGCTAAAGGCGCGTTCCCACCGGCGATGCGATCTGGTCGCGCGATAACTTTTATCGCAAAAGCGACCATCGCGGGCAAAAAAGCGACGCGATTTGAGCAGTCGCTACTCGACCCGACTTTTTTGCGATGCGATCTAGTCGCGAAACGGCTGAGCCAATCAACGGCGTTCGGAGCCAGAGTTTTCGAGAAACGACTCGCCGACGAAGGCGTTGGACTCGCTCATCGCGCACGTCGGTGTGACCATCTAACCTTTTTTGCGATGCGATCTAGTCGCATCGCGCGACTACTTACATCGCCGGTGGGAATGCGCCTTAAGTGACTGGCGCGCGACCGTCACCTAACTGTGTTTGGAGCTTGGAGCTTTCCGTGCCGTTTTTCCCCCGCTAATGGGTTACCATGTCAAAAAGCATGTTCTTGGGCACACGTGAGCAATGCCGAAGCCAGTTTTTTTTTATAAAAAAAAAAGGGGGGGGGGGGGGGTCAAGGTGGCCGAGATATACATGAATTGGGGTGCGGAGAGGGGAAGGGGGCATCAAATACACTTGTATATTATTATAGGTTATGCTAGATTTCGCCCCCCCCCCCCCCCCCACCCCCCCCACCCCGAAATCCAGCATCCAGCAGTTGCTGAAGCCCAAAAGCCTCCCCCTCTGGCTGCGCCACTGCACGTGGGGCATGTTAGCATATTTAAAAGAGACTAGTAAAGTAAGCTAATTTGCTTCTTTTAAACCTCCGAGTGCAATAAACAACAAAAATAATGTTTGCGAGACCTATTTTATCTTAAAATGGAAAATCTCAAAAATGTAATTTTCAACGGGCTACCGCATAATTCCTTTTTTTTTTTTCATAAATGTAGAAATTATACACATTCTCACCAAACCATAATAGTGGCATTCTACATATTCTAAAGCATATACGTGCCGATTTGAAAGGACAATATTAAGAACAAAAGTTCTTGTACGCGAACTGTGAAGATGCTTCAAAATTACATAAAGAGAAAAACGCATATGTGTAGCGACACACTTACGCGGCGGGAAAAAGGAATTTATTTGTTAATAAAGTTCCGTGAGAACTTGAAGCTACAGAAGACTGCGAAGAAGAGGAGACGGCTACACCTACTTTTCAACATAAATGTGATGTCGGCCGACGTCACAATTAAAAAAAAAAAAAAAACAGCGCATACAAAAATGCTTTTTAATTTATGTCGTTCTGGGTTGCCGGGAGTTCTTCAAATGCTCATTCGCGCATGCCTAATTTTGTTTTAAAACATTTAATTATTAAGCTTCTGACGAGAAAGTGTTTTACTTTACAGTACAGCACTTAAGAGATGTTTAATGAATGTTCGCTAAGCACCTGGCAACATTCAAAGTAGTTCTGGTTTCGGCCACTTGGGCCAGTTCACTATCATGTGATCTTGCTTTGTTTTTTCCTCCGCGGTTCAGGATCTTTGCAGTTCCACGTGCTCTTCGTTGTCGGCGCTCGTTTGGCTCAATCCGCGTATGCTTCATGTGGCGCATGGTGCGTGTGTACATATGCTTGAGGTTGTTTGTGAAGCCCAAGTAGTGCAATTTCCAAAGGTCGTGTCGTAAGAATGACGAATACAGGCGCCGGATCCAATTAATTCCTATCGGGCGAAATGCAACTCCTGCTGAAAACGTTCACTATCTTGTCTATGGGAGAGTTGGCGCTAAAAAGCCATATCGGGAGTATGAAGCTCGGTAGGAACATGAAGATAGCAGTGGATAGCTGCACAAGTAACTGGACGTCATGCGTAAATGAGCAATCCGTCGACGCGGTCCCAGCAGTCATCGAACCTGAACAATGCGTGCAAGACACACAAGTAGGTAATAAAGCGTTTGCATCGTGTTAAAAAAAAGTTGTGCTATTATGGAAGGGCCAGGTACAACATTGTACGATTTCCTAGAAAATATTTTTACAGGGCCGTGAAAAATTTTGAAAATCCTTGAATATTTGTCATCACAACCTGCATGAACCCTGGGTCACGATCTCACGCGTCTAGAAAAGAATTCAATTGCTTCAAGGCGAGAGCAGACAGCAAGGAAAGCCACTTCTAGCCAGGCCGTAGGTGAGTGTGCCATCATCTTACAAAGCAAATTTTTTTAGCAAACAGTTTAAGCCCTTACACAAATGAATTAAGGTTTCCCAGCTAAAGAAAAGAGCATCTTGGCAGGTTCAGTGTGGAAATTTATTAAGGAAAAGTTGCCATATCTCAGCTGCCTCTGGACAGCGGCCGAGCGGCCGAGCTCGCGTGCTCTGCGGCACGGGCAGTTCGCGCGACACTCTCGCGCGGCTCGACAAAGCGTTAAAAACAATCGCGCGCAATTCCACATATGCGCCATAGACTGTCTATGTGACTCAATGTATGCGCCTTTGAGATGGCGGCGCAAGGAGCTGCACATTTGCCTCTACCAGACTCCGAACCACGGGCATTCGCTTCCTGCGCCCCCGACATAGTCATGCGCAGGAGCCCTTGGACGTTTTTACAGCTGCGGACGCGTAGTTCTACGGGAATTTATGCATCATAGTAAACCTATGCACCGACCAGTTTTCGTTTGGTGACTGGAGACGAGACTTCGGTCTATCACAGAGATCCTGAGCCCAAAATTGAATAAATGCAGTGGATACACAAATCATCCCCCCTCAACCCCCCCCCCCCCCCAAAAAAAAAAAAAAAATCTGCAGGCTAAGTTATGGAAATTGTCTTTTGAGATGCTAAAGTACTGTTGCATCTGGAGTTCATGACAAATAAGATAACCATAACCAGGGAGAGTTATGGTATTCATCGCCTTCTGGGAGTCGGTCAATGAGAAAAGACGATGAAAATTCACAGCCGGTATGCTCCTTCTTCACAAAGATGTACCGCTTCACACGTTAGAGCAATCACAGGCTACCATCCAAGAATGTGAGTTCAGCAGCAGACCACCCTAGAGTCTTGACCTGGCTTCCTCAGATTTTCGGTTCCGAATTTTGAAGAAATCTCTTTGTATCGTGGCGGTTTTTAAGCGAGGACGAGGGCAAGACAGCTGTGACGTCCTTGTGTGAAGTTCAAGCAAGATTTATTTTCGAAGGGATTACGTTACAAGGTGGATAATGTGTATAGGGCTATATTAAAGAAAAAAAAAATAAGCTCTTTTTTTCCTACAGATGTATGATAGATTATTAAATGCCCCTCGTAACACATGCAATTAGAAATTTGAAAAAAGTTTAGAAAAAATTACATTATAGGATACACAGACTAAACCAAGACGCAATTATGCAACGGCTAGAAAATTGGCTCGAGCACTATAAGATAAAGTGGTAGGATTTGTTTATATATCCTCTCCAAATGAGGACCAAGGTTGCAATAGTAGTTTTTCTTCTCAGATAGAGGGTATATGCTTTTCAAGGTTTCTTTCTAGCTTGGTTTATGCTAGTGACTTATCCAATGGAAACACTGTAGTTGACAATTGTTTGTAAAAAAAAAAAAAAGATTACCTGAATACCAATCTGGTTATTAAAATAGATGTCAATAAAAGCAAACTTATTTTAGTTGCTTTAGCATACCCATATCCTAGAGGGGAACAGACATCAGCCATATTCTGCCAAAATGCCAATCATAAGAGCGAGCTAGCTGTTTAGTCACCACCAGACTAGAGGTTACCATAATCTTTAGAGTAGCCCCCCCCCCCCCCCCCCCCCCCCCAAGCAAGAAAGCGGAACATATAACTCGATAAATGGCAAGTGCTACGGCCCTCAATTGTGAGCCAATCGGGGCGACGGAGCAAAGCATGTGATCTCTTCATAGCCAAAGAGCACTCGCTCTGATGTGCTGGTTAGGTCACTGGAGCCATGGCTTTTGCCTTTTGCAAAGTTACGCTGAAACAGAGTGTAGCGGAAAACCTACGGGTTTAAGCCAGTTACATGTTTTTGTTACTGGTAAATCCTTAGTGGCATTTGTGGTTTGAAACTGAATTGTCAGTGACCTCCTTATAATGGGCTCCACATAATGATGACATCCATCTGTGCATTTTTACAGCGAAGCTGTATATGACTCGTTGGTCGGGTTTTTTCGTGTCCGTCGACATAACAGTAGTCGACAGAATTGTCGACAGAAAGCCATCGCGCGCTCCTTATCACTGCTCGCGTGCGCCTTATCTCTTATCATGTGGTTTTGACACTTGTTGAAATAAGAAAACAACAAAACAAGTGTCAAAACCACGTGATAGATGGTAAGCACGTAGCGCTCCCCGCTTGCGTTTCGCGGGAAAGACTGTGGTTGCATAAGCTGCCGCGGCAAAGGCAGAGTGCGAAGTGGGGAGTGACGTCACTAGCCCCGCTAACAATGCGAAGCACGTAGCGCTCCCCGCATGCATTTCTCGCTAAAGATTGCGGTCGCATAAGCTACGGCGGCAACGACAGTGTACGAAGTATTTCATATATAAAAGTTTTCTTACAGTGAATTTACTCTTCTTTCGTCATTCATTTGGTATAGACGCTTTTGCTCTTTACAAACATCATACTGCCGCTTGCCTCACAAGAGACTTCCTGTCGCACCCTCTTTGCAAGCCTGTTTTGAGCTTGCTTATGTCACCAGTGCTAGAAAGCATAAATGCTGCACGGACAACAAAGTTGGAGATTTAACGAGGGCCTTTGGGCCGCACAATATTACATCTTGGAGAAAGCAAGTTGGTTTACAAGAATACTCGAAACATTTGAACAGATCTCGCACTCTTTTGTCCTTTTGGCGTTTGCCTGGAGAATTGGTGGTTAAACGTTTCATCTACAATTCAAGCAGCGGTGTTTTAAGGTCGTAGAGAAATATAGTACTACGTAAAGAGTGGCCACTCAAGCAGTCTCGCGGCCCAGGAGTTAGGGACTCTACATGGACGTTAGTCGGCGCAACAGTGCCACTTATTCTGAACATTTGTCAGATATAAAATATTAATAAATAACTTTGTTGTATATAGTACGCTTTTAAAATTATTACGAACTTTGGAAACTTTCAAAAACGACTTCAACGGCTGTGGCTATGGCTGCGGCGCGACAGTTGGTTTCAGAGTCGTGGACTCGACGGAGGGCGGATACTTCGGCTGCTTGGTCTGTGTCTCTTGCCTCGTTGTGTGGGTTGGGTTGGTTCCGCGGCTTGTTGTCTCGTGCGGGTTTCTAGTCATTCTTCCTTTGCGGTCATGGTATACGGTATACGTAAGAAGTATTGTGACTGTAGTTTCTTTGTTGACGGGCATTTGCATTCGGTCACTGAATTTAGAAACCACTGGGCCAGATTGTTCTTCTATTGTTGCTGTATTAGTCACATGGTCATATCTGCAAGCGCCTTTCATGGAACTTGGACGTTAATTTTTTTTTTTAAATGCTTTCCATCATATTGCATTTGTCGCGTAAGTCTCGCTGTAATACAGTACTTTTTTTTCCAGTGTGCAACTGTTGACGCGTTATTCATGCATTTTGCATGTGTAATCTTATTTTTGCAATGTATGAATAACATACATCACTTCTTGTCTTCAGAGTTGATGTTTGTTTGGCTTGTCATAGTTACAAAAATAAATACTTTTGTGTGTCAATTCTCGGTGTCGTCCCATGTCGTCCCTCCAAGAGAGTTAGGACAAATGTGAAAATATCCTTTTCGGTGTGCGGTCAGTTTGAATTTTATGTATCGCTGGATGACTTTTCTTCTGCAGTACAATTGAGGTATGCTTATAAAACAATTGTGCTAGTTGCAATAATACTGACTCGTTAAACTAGAGGGCGCATGCTACTGCCCGATAAAAAAACACGCCAGAATTCGCCTTGAATCCATTCATTAATCTGGCCAGCGGCTACTGCGTGTATCCACCCATTCAACACTCAACTAGGGACTATACTGGCCGCTGGGTGCGCTCGCTGACGCTTAATTGGGTCGCTGGGGCCTATGGAAGTGTCCGCTCTTTACGTAGTACTAAATTTCTCTATGTTAAGGTGGCCTTTGTTAATTATTTTTATAAATCGGGGACGTCAAAGGCTGGAGCACCGTTTGCCATAAAAAGGGTCTATAGTGCCGTGGGCAATCGTTGGAGGTGATACCACAGCTTCGCTGTCCAACCACCTTCACAGCATGGATTGGAGCCTTAAATTTTTGTAAACCCTTCTCGCAGGTGATGTTCAAGTCTCAACTTCAGCGAAGTGAGATGGAGAATCAGCTTCGCAGGGAAATCGAAATCCAGTCGCACCTCAAGTACGTTTCTGCTTCTGCTGGTCTGGGCACATTGGGTGCTACAATCATTTGCACTGTCAGATTATCAAGTCTATGCTGTAGCATTAACTTGCCGGTTTCAGGCAGGTGGAGTGATAGATGTATTAGTGGTTAAATACTTTGAATCTGGCAGCTGATTGTGCTATTTTGCCTGTGGGCTTGCGATTGGAGTAAAATGAGGGTGAAGTCCTTTAAAGTTAGGATGTTTCCTTACAATGCCACTAGTAATACGATGAGAAACGATCAAACAAAAGGATTATGCAGTCAGTCTTAATGAAGGATTTCTAGTCCCCTTGCAAGGAGTGGAAAACAGTTATTTTGACATTGGCCTTGAATATTCAGGGATTAATCGGGATTACCTAAATGCTAAAGAATAATTTATTCTCGTATTCCGATTCTGACAAAAAATGCACTTAAAAATAAATACTCTCTTCTTTGCCATTATACAGCAAGGATAATCAGACGTTCAACACGGCTTTCGGCGCGGAGCATCAACTGTAACGCAGCTGATTACTATACGTGTCACGACTTCGCGCTTGCAATAATCACATAGATCAGGTTGACGCAGTGTTCTTAGACTTTTCCAAAGCCTTTGACAAAGTGCCGCACAATAGACTCCTGCAAAGGCTTTACGCCATTGGAATTAACACTAAACTTATTGATTTTATTAAATCTTACCTAGACACTGAAGTTCACTATGTACAGACTGATAACCACTGTTCGGACACTCTACCAGTCACATCGGGGGTGCCCCCCCAAAAAATATTCAGGGTCTATTTTATTCTTGATGTATGTCAACGACATTGCAAGCGCTCTTGACCCTGAAATTAAAGCTAATCTTTTCGCTGGTGACTGCATTTTATGCACCTCAATAAAATCACAAGTCGATTAAACAAGACTGAGTGACAATCTAGAAAATATTTTAAGTTGGTGTGTCAACTGGGGAATGTCTCTAAATGTTGATTAGTGTTCTGTCCTACTAGTATGTGACTAAAACAGAAACATACTTAATGTATTCATACGTTATTGGAGACGAAGCAATTAACGAATTATTGGCAGTTAAATACTTCGGTGTTACAATTACAGAATGTTTGAGTTGGAACGAGCACATCGATAATATTTGCTCCAGTGCTCTTAGCTCTATGGGCCCTCTGACGTAAGCTCTCAGGAACCCCGATGCAGGTGAAGCTTGCAGCCTACATAATTTTAGTCAGGCGTTGTCTAGAGTATGCTTCATGTTTATGGGACCCTCACACTACAAAAATATATAAAATTAAAAGAGTACAGAAGACTGCAGTTCGATTCATTTGCCGGTAAAAAAGAACGGACAGCCGGAATGAAATGACCAGTTTTCTCGGACTTGAAACGCTTCAAACCCGGCGCTTAGAAAATATGTTAAAACGTTTGTACATAATATATAATGATTTAAATCACCTAAAACAATGTATTTACGTAAACCTAGTATCGCGCGCAAATACTCGTTTGAACAATGGCAAAATGATTCAGGAGTTTCGTGCGCACAATGATACATTTATATTTTCGTTCTTTCCTTGGACATTAGCCGCATGGAACCAGCTGCCAAAAAACATAGTAGAAAGTGCCAATGTCGAAGAATTTATTTACATTTGAAAGTTGCGCTCGTGTGATTGTTTTGTAATGTTTTTGTCGTTGATGTTTTCCTACGAGTTTACTTTGTTGTTACGTCTTGCGGCTGGTATTGATGTCCTTCTCGGTGTTATATATTATGTTTATATTTGTCACGCTCACTCCTGCTTGGACTCTGACATGAGTCTGCAGTATTTATAAATAAAAATAATAAAATAGCGAAGCGAATGAAAGGATTTCAGTTCCTAACAGAGCAGATTGTTCTGCGAACGGCCTCGGGAGGTCGCAATGTCCCATGCACGTCCTATGGCTGTCTATGGGCCCATGATGTCTCTCTGGGGTAGCAGCGCATAAAAGACACAGGATTTGGTTCCCCAGTCTTGCACGTGACGTCAGTCCACCCTTCTTTCTGATAGCCAGAAGAGCCTCATTAACGCAGCGAAAGCTGCGCTCCCATGCACCCTTTCCCCCATTGTCTGCCCTTCTTTCTGGTGGCCAGAGGTGTCGTATTAACACAACGGAAGCTACGCTCTCACGCACCTTTTTCCCTATTGTGTCTGACTAAGTGACGTCAGTACAAGTTGTGTACTATGTGTTTTCGATCGCGTCCACCTTCCGCCCGTAACGGCAGCATATAGAGTCTCACAGTTCTGTACGAGTCCCATATCATTTCCACATATCATTTCCATGGAAGCTCGGAGTTTGTTAAGGTTTCGGCAAAACATGTGGCTGGTAGGTGGACAGGTTTAATGTGATGATCGGTTGGTTTCATTAGACGATACGATAGTGTATACTAGTATTTAGTATAATGAGGAGCTTGAAATGTATAGATCCTTTTGTTTTGCTCGCCCGCGATTTTTTTATGTCCGTTCACAAGGAAAGTGAAACTTTTTTTTTACTCAAGTAAAGATCGTATCTGCTATTCACTTTTTTAACTACGCGAATGTGAGGAAAAATATGACATGTATGTTCAAAGGATACAACTGTTGAACTCTATAGGTCTTTCTACTAATTCTGCCAAAGGTCCACATAAATCTGCAATGATTAAAGTAAGGCAATATTGCTTAAAAAAAAACAATTGAAATATTTAGTGTCAGTGTAACTTTCTTCGTGAAGCTAGAACCCGTAGAGTGTCCACTTTACCGTGCGTGCAAAAGAATCTGTAATGATGTATTCATAAAACTTTGCATAATCTGCATGTTCCGCCTGTGTCCCCATCCAGGCATCCGCACATTTTGAAACTCTATGGCTGGTTCCACGACAAGACCAGGATCATCCTGATCCTTGAGTACGCACCCAAAGGACAGCTGTACAAGCAGCTAATCAAAGCCAAGAGGTTTGACGACAAGAGGGCTGCCACTGTGAGTATCTCTTGCATATGCCGCCGAATTGTTTTATTTGTTTATTTATTCAAAATACCTCAAAGGCCTGTCGGCATTACATGAGGGGGGACTATACAGTCTGATTAACATGGATAAGGAATGGCATTGAGCACGCCGACTCCATACAAACAATAATGCAACTGCACGCATCGAAATAAACTGAAGCATTTGCGCAGCTGGGTGACGTAAATCACATAATGACTAGGGATGCCGTGAATTACCCTAGGTTCGAGTTCGAACGGTTTCGATATTTTCGAACCGAACTGATGTTCGAATTCGAAAGGTTTCGATATTTTCGACCGTACAGAGGTTCGAATTCGAAAAATTCGGAACTTTCCAAAATCGTGGGCTTTCGAATTCGAAAAGTGCAAAGCTTTCACGGTTTCTAAAAGTTCAGGTTCGATTATTTCGAATATTTGTTTACTTGAGGTTCGAGAAATTCGAAGATTCCGAACTTTCCTAACTTGAAATTCGAGAGATTCGAATGTTTCGAATTTCTTTGGATCTGAAATTCGAAAAATTCGAACGATTCGAATTCTTATAGACATAAAGTTCAATGAAATCGAAGATTTCGAATTTTTTTCTACATAAAGTTCGAAAAGTTTGAAGGTTCCGATTTTCTTTTAGAACTAAATTAAAAAAAAAAAAAAAAAAAAAAAAAAAAAAAAAAAAAAAAAACCTCGAAGGTTTCGAATTTCTTTCAAGTCCAAGTGCACAAAGTTCGAGGTCCGGTTTTCATGTTCCGCCACAGCTTCAGTTTCAAATAACGTTTTCACGCCTCACTGATTTTCATGAAATTAGGTTTAGAAAAGTTCGGGTGTGATATTTAGACTGCGCGAAGTTGGTCAGGCAATTAGATGAGACGACGAGTGTCCCGGATGTGCTGGAATATTTGCCAGTGCAGAGTGACGTGTGACCATAGATCAGTAATTGTGACCGCCAGCCCCGGGGGGGGGGGGGGGGGGGTGATTAACGTGCATCACGAAGTAGTGATCACACGAACGCACTGTTTAACAATACTCATCCAGTTCGAAACGGCCAGGGGCAGGCAGGTGGTTGAGGCTCAGAAAAACTTTGAAGTGATCTGGCAAACTGTCTCCCTACCCCCTTGCACGCTGGTAGTAATCCGATCGAACGCCGCCCGAGTGACGCTGGCATATAATAAGTTTAGTTTGTAGAAGATGCAAAATACTGAGACTGGGAATGAAATTTGAAAGAAAAAGTGTAAGAAGGCAGAAAGAAGGGGACAGGACAGCGTCTCAAACTCAGCTCAGGACGTCTCAAACTCAACTCAGCTGAAAACTCAGCTCAAGACAACATCTCAAACTCAACACAGCTGAGTTTGAGACGTTGTCCTGTCCCCTTTTTTCATGATACTGGTTCACAGCGCACAAGATCAGACACACTTAAAAGCAATTTTACGCATATACAGGAAGAACACTCACGCAGTGCTGATAAATTCAGCCCTGCGCTTCCGACGCCACTGTAGTGGCGTCAGAAGAGGAAAAACGGGGGGATGGGGAGGCTCCAGTCTTTCTCCCTTCCCTCCCAGATATTTCGAACTGTTAAATAAAAAAATACGGAGAAAGAGGGCATGGTCAAACTTATTTTAATCTGAAATTATTTATGCATATGTATAGCTACTGTCGCTCTTCACTGCATAAGGCCCGTTTCAGACGGGGCAACTTTTTCAGCAATTTTGAGGTTGTTGGCGGGTTGTTCCCTAGCTTTCCCTAGATCGACGCGAATTGCTGAGATCGGGTCCGGCTCGAACAAGCGAGCAACTCGGAGCAATTCGAAGACGGTTGAAGCGGCCGCAGCCAATCAGAGACGCGATATTTTCACGTGACACCCCTGTGGTGGTGAGGATGACAGCTAAAGACTTAGTTCTGGTTTGAAATGGATCGTTTTCGGAAATAAGCAGTTTTAGAAAAATGAGTTAGTATTCTCAACGCCGTTCAAAGATATAAGAACGCGTTTTTAGCGCGTAGCTGGGCGTCTAAATAGTGCAAGAAAAATCAAATTTAATGATGATGATGGCAAGTCGGAGCAATTCGGTTGCTGCGTGTGAACGCGGGCGGCCCGTGTTTCTGGTGTTGCGACGTCATGTTGCTGGGTGAAATTGCTCTGTCTGAAGCGGGCCTAAAAGATCGCGTAGATGGTCATTGTTAGAAACTCGTTGTCAGAAGGCACTACTAGTCAAATGCTCGCTGGCTCGGAAGTTCAAAGCTATGTCTTTTCGACCTAAATAACTGTGCCATTGGTAAAAAAATAATCAATAAATAAACATAACAACAAATACAAAAATAAAAAGCTGGAGAGGAAAAAAAAAAAAAAACCTATCAAGAACCCGCCGGATATGTTGTATTCTCGCATATTCAGAGGCCGAGAACTATGAAACAAGTTTCCCCCACTAATATGTGTACAGGCCAAAAGAAACACGTCCCAAAAACAAAAAACGAGATTTTTTTTTTAATTTTTTATGACGTGCTGAACTTGAACAATATTAGATATCTTCTCCCATGAGTTAATTTATTCCTTAACGTGAAAAAACAATAAATACATTATTTTTTATTCTGCGGATGGTCATGATATGTACTGTCTCTGGTGCTAATTTAAATGCGATACCTCAAACAATGTAGGCGCAAAAAATCACCAAGTTTAGGGCATATTGGCCCGTAGGTACATGTTTAGATATTTCTTCGAAACTTGTCTTGAACAACAATAATCATATCTTAAGACGACACTTACCTAGGCTATATATAGATCATTCTTAAAAAAGTTTAACATCTCTACCATTAATAGCTTCGGCTATAGCGCGCTTCAAGTATGGCACAAACGACAATTGTCAAAAAAACCGTCGTCCTTCCTCGCTCCTTCGGGAATCTATTTCTTTAAAACCAAGCATGCCAGATGATTGAAATAAACGGCATTGTCTTTCGCAAGGAATGCGGCACTGCATGCAAAATCGCGAAAAAAAAAATTACGAATATACCTCACTGCTTGAATCCAAATAAAACCGCCCGCCGGTCTTTCGAAGTTCGACGAACTTCGAACTTTTACCCTAAAAGGTCGAAGTTCGTCGAACTTTTGACTTTTCAGGAATCTAAAGTTCGTCAATTTTCGAATTATTTAGATGAATAAGTTCGAAAGTTAGAAAAATATCGAATTTATTAGCGTAGGAAGTTCGAAAGTTCAAAAAGCTTCGAACTTTTTAGTGCAAGAAAGTCGAAAGTTAGAAAAACATCGAATTTTTTAGTCTATCAAGTTCGAAAGTTCGACAAGCATCGCATTTTGCAGCTTAATAAGTTCAAAATTTCGAAAAGCGTCGAACTTCTTAGTTTAATAAGTTCAAAATTTCGACTTCTGTCGAATTTCTCGATATGGAAAGTTCGAAAATTCGAAATATTTCGAACCTTTCAACCCACTTGATTCGATCATCGAAACTTCGGTTCGAAAAAAGTTCGCGGCATCCCTAATAATGACACAAAAAAATGAAAGTCGCTTACGACCCCCTGTAACACCGAATTAGAGCGCAGCTCTTGAAGAGAAGGAGGGAAAGGTACTGAGGGGAGCGTATACCCGTCCTCCCTCCTCCTCGCCTCCTCATCCTGCGTCCTATTCCTCCCTCCGAGCGGCATCGGTGTCGCCGTCGCCGTCGGCGTAACCATGAGGTCACGTGACCCTCGGGAAGTCACGTGACCTTCGTGACCTCACGGGGGTCACGTGACGTCGCCGGGGTCACGTGACCTTACGGGAGCCACGTGACGTCACCGGGTTCACGTGACCCCCGTGAGGTCACTTGACGTTATCGTGATGACGTCATCGCCATCCTCAGTGATGACGTTACACGTGACGATGACGTCATCAGTGATGTCATCGTTATGATGACGATGACGTCATCAGTGACGTCATTGTGATGATGAGGAGGACGTCATCACGATGACGTCACCAGTGACGTCACGCGTCCCAAATGCACCGCGCGGTTACGCCGATGCCGACGGCGACAGCGACGCCGCTCAAGCCGGAAATGGGCGCCTAAGAGCTGCGGTCTAAAAATAATACACACATCCGTTAACATCTCGAGTAATGCAAAATATAGATACAGTGCCCAGCTCCCAAGGAAAGACCATCGTCACACATTTTTAATTAGCTAAAATATAAATGGTTAACTCAACGAAAAAGTGTTGGATCGGAAACTGGAAGATCATTCCAGAGCTTGATGGCACGTGTCAGCGAAGAATTATTGTTGAATGATAATGATGTCCCAAAGATGCGTTCAAAACTCTTAGAGTTAAAGTTACGTGATTCCTTGCTCAGGGGTTCCAGATGCTAGAGCCAAGTCCCACCGAGGCTGTGGCATAATCGGTGAATTAAGCATAGGAGAGAACTGTTACGTCGCGTTTCCAGTAGACACATAGAATAAATTTGCTTTATTATATAGTGACACGCAGTCGAAACGCGAATATGACTAAGAAATGAAGCGGGCAGCTCGGTTTTTAATGGAATCGATTTGATAAATAGGGTAGGTTTGGTGAGGGGCCCACATAGCGGAGGCGTACTCTAATTTCGGGCGAACATAGGTTTCATAGGATAATTTGCGGATGTGAGAGGGCGCAGATTTCAGATTGCGTTTCAAGTAATCGAGGGCAGGGGTGCTTTAGCGGTTTCGTGTTATTAGCTAGTTTAGGACAGGGGGCCCCACAGCTTTGGGTGCCCAAACAGCTTGGGGCGTCGAACTGCGCATGCGCAGTTGGACGCCTCAAGCTGTTTGGGGCACCCAAAGCTGCGGGGCCCCCTATTCTAAAACTCGCTGATGTGGGAAACCCAAGAAAGATTAGAAGTTAGTTCAACACCGAAGAACTGATAAGCAGAAACAGCGATGATGGGAGGATTGTTGAGTGAAGTTGGCAAAGTCTGAGTTTGCGTGCTTACAGTTGAAGGAAAAAATTTAGATTTTGCTCTGTTAAAAGGACCATGAAACGACCTTTTTACTTTTGCCCCCCCCCCCCCCCCCCCCCCCATAGGGCTTTTACATTAAACCTTCAATTTTCACTGAGCTCCGAACACGGTTTATTAACTTCTGCACGAAAAATTATTAAAATATCATTTTTCTTCCCCTCCAAGTCATAAACAAAACAAGCCGCGGCATAATTTTGACAGTCGTGATGTATTATGGCACCGGACAGTATAGGATAATGGGAGCGTTTGCGGCGAGCTGACGGTGTGCCGGTAGCTTTTACTGCGCTGATGGCGCCGATGCCACCGACATACTTTCTGACTGGTCGACTCTCATCACCGAGATAGACATGGACACATCGCAGCTGAGCGAAATTCAATTAGATATTAGACAGCATGGGACTGGCCCCATACGCCGGTACGAAGCACAGCAGGTCGTCAGCACGACAGATGCTTCTCCGCCGCCGTTCGCCGTTTCTGCAGTATCTCTAAAAAGAAGGGGACGCGCTGTCACTCACTGGCGTAGCAGAAAATGCACAGAGTTTTCTATAGGCTCAAGCTTTATTAACTTTTATTTTGTTATAATAGGCTCGCAGGGCAGGGTGGATGAAAAAAGAAAAGAAGAAGATGCAGAACTCGTCTGTGTTTCGTCCTCTCTCTGTTTTATACTTTCTGTTATCTAGTAGATGCAGTTCGACGTCGTCTAACGATCACGACTTTAAAATACGACTTTACTGATAAATATACAAATCTCACCACACACCTTTTCTACGATTGCGAAAGACAATATAATCTTAGCAGAGATATAGCAACGCAGAAATATGATTTAGTGATTACATAGACGTTGCGATCGTTCAAGGAATGCTAACACTAATCACTTTTCTCGGGTGATGAAAACGCGTCAAAATTAGAATCCTTCATACGCGCCTTTAAATACAGTACGCACCAGTAATATCTTGAACTTCTGTACATGCATGAAAGTCGCAAAATAAGAAATCCGGGCGATGTTCGAGGAGACAAATTCTAAGAAAGCACTACTCTGGTCGAAGTAAACAAAGACGACGGCACGAGCGTTTCTGCTGTCCTGAGGGTGCCGCCACAACATCGCCGCAAGAGTAGATGGATCTTCCCTTCTAGGACGTGTTGGGTTATTATCGCGACACGCGACGAGAATTCAGTCAACGACAGCGCTTTACGTGGAACACCTCGCCGACCACGTCAACGATCACCACCGACGACATGTTTTCAGCAGAGAGGAGGAGTTGGAGCACGATTTCAATAGTGAAAAAGCGCAGGCGCAGTCTTATCTTTCTTTTGCATTGTTTACCACACGATAGATGGTGCATAACTCGAAGCATTATGAAATTCGGCAATTTCCGTCACATCGCTAATTATTCTACAAAATGTGGATCATAATATTTTTTAACAAAACTTTTAAGTAACATTCGCCGGCTATTTAATGTTTATGATCGCGATGCTGGTGAGTTAGGCTCTTTAATAGGCGACGTGGATTTGGCTAACGTGCTTTGGCACTGCGGATGCATCGCAGTGAAAAGGCACAGCTTTTGAATGAAAGAAGGTATGAAAGAGTCCGTTTTTCTTTTAAAAGTTCTATAGCGAATTTCTTTTGGCTCTCTATTTTGTGTTTTGGTTTTATTTTCACACCTTTTACGACGCGCAATGGATGAAATTCGATTTTAAAATCGTTTGACGGTTAAAGGTCATTTGCCATTTGTAACCACCCGGTCAATATCACTTTGGAGATGTAAGTGGTCGTCAGGGTTGCTGATCTTTCTGTAAAGTACACAATCGACAGCAAAAAGGATGTTAGTGACTGCGGAAGATCGTTACTGTATATTAGAAATGGAAGAGGGCTTAGGACAGTACATTGCGTCACCCCGGAGGTTACATCGGCAATGCGAATGGAGGAGAGCTTAGATATTAGACGGCAATGCGGCACGCGGTTGAGCGCTTTGGAGAAATCTAAGAAAATGGCGTCGGTTTGGGTGTTTAGGTTCATGTTACTATGTATATCGTGCGTGAACTCAAGAAGTTGGTTGTCGCATGAGATTCCCTTATGAAGTCCGTACTGTATTTGTAAAAAAGTTGTTCTGTTCAAGATGGGATATGACATTTGAGAAAATAACATGTTCCAATAGCTTTGAGGCCACTTGTTAATGAGATGGATCAATAATTGCTTCGTGAGCTTTTACTGCCACATTTAAAATCTGGCACGGTCTTCCAGTCATAAGGGGTGGATTCAGTAGATAATGATTGTTCAAAAAGTAAGCAGTATTACGCAATATTTTAGAGGTAATCTTGTCAGTGCCCGCGGATGCTGAGATTTGAAGGTTATTGATGAGTTTTAGAATTCCTGCAGGCGAGATTAAAATGGGTTCCATAAAAGGGTAGTCTAGCTCTGGTACAAACAGAATATTACTTAGGTCCTCAGTTGTGAAAACAGACGTAAAGAAAGTATTGAGGACCGTTGGGCAGCTCGCGTCGGGTACGAGTTGACCAGAATTGCTAATAAGAAATATCTTATCATGAGACTCGATTGGTGATAAATTTTTCCAGAACTTGGTTGGATTATTTTTAAGCAGAGCAGGTAAATCGTAAGCAGGCACGTAGTCAGGGGGGGGGGGCATGACCTCCTCTCCCCCCTCCCCCTCATACAGCATTTTGTCATGGGTAGCCCCCCCCCCCCCCCCAAAAAAAAAAAAAAAAAAAAAAAATTATGGCTACGTGCCTGATCGTACTTAAAGTACTTTTCTTTGAGTCTTCTAGACAGGCAATATATTCTTTTTCGCAGCTAGAGTACCTCGCTCACAATGCATCAGAAATGGATTGTTTTGCCTTTTGGAATATTCTTTTATTTTTATTACGAGGCGTTTTTAGTCCTGTGTTTAACCAGGGCTGACTGATGTTGGAACGAATTGAATGAAACAAGGGGAATATGAGCGTCAATGAGCGCAGATAATTTATTTTAAACATATTCCAATTATGTTCTACTGCAGGAGTATGAAAGCCCGCGGTGAACGAAGAACAAAAGTGCAGGAGTCTTGAATTGATTGAGTCGTAGTTAGCTTTGCTCTAATCTTTTATCAGCTTAACACTATGCAGATTTCGGGAGGTAGATAAGTTTAATTTCAGATTCATACTTTTATGATCACTGAAACCGTTGCAGCAGGTTAAGAAGGTTATTACGTCTGGTGCTGATGCTAGTGCTAAGTCGTCCAGAATGTTGTTTCCGCGCGTGCTGGCGGATACGACTTGTACGAGGTTGAGATTTAGGCATATATCCACGAAATTTGTTTCAGTATTATCTTGGCATGAAAGTGTCGACCAGTCAATAGATGGAAAATTAAAGTCACCAAGTACAAATACGTCGGCTTTCAGATAGTCGCAATGGACCAGGTTTAAGTTATTGTGAAATGAATCGCAGAAGGATGACTCACTGTTGGGTGGTCGATAACAGACAAGAATTATGGTTTTCTTGAAGTGTTGAAGTATAAAGACAGATCCATAGCATATCGATGTATTTTATCAATTTTTATCATGCATGAAGGAATGTCTTTTCTGAAAGCTATTAAGATACCGCCTCCCCTCCTGATACCTCTGTCACGGCGATAAATGTTGAAGTCTGCGGAAGTCTGTGGGTTGAAGTCATATATTTCCTTATCAAGTATACTAGGTTTAAGCCAAGTCTCTGTTAAGATCACAACGTCGGTATCGTTATCGTACAAATATTATGACAGTAAATCATGTTTAGGGATTACACTGCGGATGCTAGTGGACAAAAAAAAAACACTGCCTTTTTTATCCGTGATTCTTGATAAGACCCGATCAGGACAGGAGGGCTTAGATTTTGTTTCATTCGCTGTTATGCTGTCAGTTGTTTTACACTGGGTGGTAGGGGATTGTAAACAAATATCCTGTTATTCATTTTTAGCTTATTAAACGACAGCTTGTAAGACATATTTTTTTCTTTTGCAAAATGTAGAAGTTTTATTCTAGCAATGCGAACGTCCAAAGAAAAGTCTTCCCCTGCGTCGAAAGGTGTCGTCCCCTTAAGCAATGGAACAGACATTAAGATCCGATCTTTTTCCTTGAATCTGGAAAACTTCACCATTATTAGCCGATTTGCTTCCGCCGAGAACCGTCCCAGGCAATGGGCCCTTTCAACACAATCAGAGTTTACGGTCTGTTTAATATTTTGCGTGCAGAATTCTAATATGTATTCCTCGCTTATGGCCCACGTTACAACGGTGAAGTCAGTTTTCTGCAACTAAGATCTGGTGTTCTCGGTTTAAGCCGAAAGAATAAGAGTGTGCCGAATTGATTATCTTTTCAGAATTCGGGTTTTAATCATAAAAGACAGTATTTTAGAGCTGATGAACATTTAGAGGGGAGAAAGGTGGGTCGTCATCATCTGACTTCGCGACACAGACGAAGAAGAGGAGACAAATACCGTGGTGTCTTTGTCTGCTCTTCTTGGTCTGTTGTGCTGTTCCTTTTTAATTAAAAAATTGAAATGTGAGCCTCATAAATGCATTTTGTTCGAAAACCAGCATGTGTAAAAACAACTGATGCCCGTGTTTGTTCACATCCTGTTGAATGTTTACGAATATGGAGCTATTATTTCATGCTTAATTTTGACGAGGTGAAAACTTGAATCAAGGAGCTGATTTTTCCTACCGCCGCGGGATGGCAACAAGTGAGGCGAACACCGCAAGCAGCAGGGGGGGCGAGTTGATACAAAACTTGCTCCGCATCCTGTTGAGTTTTTATTCGACTCCCGTTGCAGTACATCTACCAGATGTGCGTGGCCCTGAAGTACTGCCATGCCAACAGGGTGATCCACCGGGACATCAAGCCAGAGAACCTACTGCTAGGCTTCAACGGGGAGCTCAAGATGGCCGACTTCGGCTGGTCCGTGCACGCGCCGTCTTCCAGGTTAGAGCTCTTCTCATTGGTCAGCGTGGAGCTCGTAGCAGATGGCGACGAGTGCTTCTCAGATCAGGTTCCCCAAAATCTGTCTGTGGAAAAAAAAAATCTTCGGATGTTCTCTGGTGCTTTTTTGTCTCTGAGAGAATGGTGCCTGAACGGTGCTGGTGGTGGACATTGAAGAAAGGTATTTGATAAGGACGCAAGAAGCAAGCGCTCGGCTTCGATGGCTGCATGAAACATGATCTTGGAATTGAGGAAATGGAACAAGGACATATATCAGTTGCATTTATTGTGCAAGTTGAAGCGTATTTTTGAAATTGGTATTGACATAGGAATACTGTTCTTTTTCCAGATTACGGCCAAGGCTCATAGTTCCGGGCATTTATTCAATTCCCCTCGTTTTCATCCATTTAAATACGCGCTTCTCTCGTGCCGACATTTGTGTTGATCAGCACTGAATTATACTGGGGATATGTGAGGAAAAATGTGAGCAAAAACAGAGAATGGGGGCGCAGCAAGTCGTGGGAAGGGTTTGGTGATCCTTACATTGCGGTAGTGTTCTGCTAAGACGGATATCCTTGAGCGGTGCCTCCTGTCGCAGGCGGTCGACCATCTGTGGCACCCTGGACTACCTGCCGCCCGAGATGGTTGATGTCAGTGTCAGTGTGTACGACGAAAAGGTGGACATCTGGTCGGTTGGCGTACTCACCTACGAGTTCCTGGTAGGCAAGCCGCCCTTCGAGTGCAAGACGGCCAGGGAGACTCACCGCCGCATCTGCGCTGCCGACATCAAGTTTCCCGACTTCGTCTGCGAACCAGCGAGGGACCTCATCACCAAGGTGAGTGCTTGGCAATGGTACACCGAAGGAGATTGTCAAAGGTTTGTCTTGTCGCTGCATGCTGACGGAGTGCTCCTTATGACACTGACTCAGGTTTCATTCCAGATGGACGGGCATGTGCAAATAGTGAATTTTGAGTTTGAAGCAAACACTAGTGTTTTTGGCCAATTATTCTCTAATCGAATATCCAATAGTTTCTCCAAGCCTTTCACTAATGTTACACCCTGCTTGAATCCCGACCTGTAGGAAAATCCTCGCCACCCTTCCCATTTCCCCTCTACCACTGCTATCTTGATGGCGGGAGAGCGCCTTTTGCGCGCGCGACGCTAGAGCGCCGACGTTGGAGCGCGCGACACGAGGGCGCTGCGATAGCGCGCGTGGCGCATGTCACGAGAGCGCATGACCAGTTGGCGCGCGACACGAGAGCGCACCCCAGTTGAGCGCGCTACACGAAAGCGCACCCCAGTTGAGCGAACACCGCGAAATGTGGGATGTATACCCGCGGCTCCACAGACAGAACAAATTTTGCAACTCATCGGATCGGAGAATCGGTGATTTTTAATTGATTGAATTCTTTATGAAGAATAAAACTAAAACGGGTACGACTTTTTCTAAGAAATCAAGCCATTTTTCTGGGGTTCCCCGAGAACATGCGCGATCAAAAACTTAGCATCAACGGAAAGCAAAGTGCGCACAAGAGCGTTCTAAATATGAACCTAAACAAAACTTGCACCCGAATTTCGACTGTTAAAATTATATTGATTGCTAGATTTTGAAGGTGAGCTTTCCTTCGCACCCGTCAGTTTTCCGGTGAACTTCTTTCCGCTGCCCATTTTGTATAGGGTGACAGAGACAAAAGGTGAATTAAACACCATACCGTGTCCCTTACCTCATACATGTTTCAAAGGGAGAAGCTTTGCTATCAGAATCCAGACTAATTGAAATACAAGATTTTTTTTCCGCTGCCCATTTTGTATAGGGTGACAGAGACAAAAGGTGAATTAAACACCATACCGTGTCCCTTACCTCATACATGTTTCAAAGGGAGAAGCTTTGCTATCAGAATCCAGACTAATTGAAATACAAGATTTTTTTTTTTTTTTGGAGCAGAATGTTTGTGGAAGCTTTGAGACTACTGTGCCTGCCGCATCGCATACTGTTGGTCTCGCACCAGCGCTCCATCCCTCTGCTACCCTGACATCAACGCATATTTAATTTTCATTATCAGCACAGATTCCCAGATTAAGTGTTTAATACAATTGTCATTTCTGACAATATGAATGGTTGGTGTATGGCACTTGGCACGAGAGCTCCTTTCCCTAATTTGATTTTAAAAAACCCAGAATACGGGGAAGCATGCTACATGTTGCTTCTTTCCATTTGAACGTTTTAAAATAATTTAAAATAAAAATTAGTGAGGTCGATTGTGTCATTTAAAATAAGAAAAAAACTGATGAAGCTAGGTCAGCTGCAATGTTTTTTTGTTTTGTTTTTTCTTGGGAAATGAACGCTACAAATATTCATATCTTTTTTTCTTTTTTTTCTGCTGTCCGCTTTTTGTAACACTACTTGATTTGTCACACGCAAACATTTCGTCGACTCATTCGCAATGCCCTTGCTGAATGCCGCGGCGTAAATCCCCGCCGATTTCACATAAAACACGCGATGTCCGAACAAGTGGTCGGTCGGGTCAGGCCACTCGCGCTGGACTGGTTGTGCGCTCTCGTTACGGGCGCTCTAATGACACGCGCGCTAATGTCGCTGCGCTCTCGAGTCGCGCGCTCTAACGTCGCGCGCTTTAACGTCGCGGCGCTCTCATGTCGCGCGCGCTAACGTCGTGGCGCTGTATACGGTCGGCGCTCTAATGTCGGCGCTCAAGTGTCGTGCGCTCTAGTGTTGTACAGCCTTTCATGGCTGGGGACTCCTTTTGTTGCTGCATTTCGGGGCTGGGTAATCCCGGCGTATCCAGCCACAAGATGCAACAGCAAAAAGATTGTCCGGCCTTCGAGGTAGCAGTGGGAGAAGGGAAATGGGAAGGGTGGCGAAAGGAATTTTTCTATCATGCGGAAAACCATTTTGAAGGTCGGGCTTTAAACCAAAAGCTAGCTGAACTCCTGGAAGTTGCTCCCAAGCTTCCACGTGTCCATTTGTAAGCTAAGCATATTTTAATCTCACTAATATTTATGGACAGTGGCGTCAGAAAGGACAATGATTTCAGTGGGATGGCAAGCAAACGACATAATTTATACAAAATTAAATCTATAGAGGTGCCCAGTTATAGCTATACCTATTCGAAGGGATTTATAAATCTTGCTATGTGCGAATACCCTTTCTTCAATCTCGAATATGAAAAAAAAAAAATCGTGAATGATGAACGCAGGTTGTCGGGGCATCTCTGCATACCATTCATTACGCTTGGATAATAGCCACAGTTTAATTTTGAAAGTTATGCAATGAAGTTGTCAACATTAACGAAATTTTCGTTTTTTTTTAAATACACCAGGCGCGCGCGTGCATCATCCCTTTTTGAAGGTGTGCTTTTCTCCTAAGCACGTGACTGCAATATCTGTACTTTTCGAAGCGCTGATCGCGGTGGGTTAGACCCGTTGAGCGCGCTTCTTACCCAGCACCGATGCATCGCAGAGATCGTTTTCGCGGGTGTTGCTTCTCTGCAGTGCACCCATGTTTGGTAAGAAGCGCGCTCAACGGGGCTAACCCACCGCGATTAACGCTTAGAAAAAAAAAAAAAAAAAAAAAAGGCTCGAGGTACACTTAAGCACTTCTTATGAGTTGTGAATGCGAAAGCATGCACGTCATTCTTCCGCTCCCTTATTTCTTCTACGGCGCGCCATCTCCTCGCCGCTTCGACCTTGGACGTTTCGTGTTACTGGCGCGCTGACTAGAGTTCCTGTATATGCTACCTACGGTAGCAGAGTTGCGCATTCAGCCTCGGAGGGTGGCCGTAGCGCCGGCTTTGCCGCACGAGATGGATGCTTTGCTCCTCACGTGACTAAATTTGGCGAATAGCGGCGCCGCGCGCGCCGCCGCGCATGGAAAACAGGAGAGGAGGAAGAGGAGGCGGAAAGCAGGGATATATACGCCGGGGAAAGAGAAACGTCGGCGGAGCGACCGTAAAGTTGGCTTTCTTGCACGCCAACGGATGCTTTGCTCCTCACGTGATGGATCTCGGCGAATAGCGGCGTGGCGGCGCGGGGAAAACAAATGCGCAACTCTGGCTCCCGTAGGGAGCCTATACAGGAACTCTAGCGCTGACGGACACGCAGCGCCATGGGGTGGCGGTTGTTGAAACTGACGCGCAGCGGCCAATGGGAGCCTCGTCGACGCGTGCCAGCCAATGGGACCGAAGCCGAAATCCATCAGATTTACTCCCCTTTTTTGTAACCGGGGAACCTAGGTGGCCATTTGGCTAGGCTTTTCGCGTGTTTTCACAGCTGACTTCACTTGGAGAAAGGATTTAAGGTGCCGTTTTCTTCAAAGCTGATGACGTCGGCTCGCTCCATGGGACAGTTAAAGGGTCAATGAAGATGATTTTATTTAATTTTTTTAAATGGTGTTTCTAGGCTTCTTGGGAACCTAGCACGCTGCCTAATTTTTTGTAGACGTTTGGGATGCGTATTTCTGTGCCTACCAAAGAACGGAAGAAACCGAAACTGAACTATTTCCATTCTCATTTTTGGGCCTCAGAAAACGGAGGTGACGTAGAGAGTGGCGTCAAATGTGAATAGTCGGTATTGGTAGTATTTAGGAGATCGAGACTCTGGTTACCGCGGTGGGTTATAGCAGCGCGGTGGCGCGGTCGTTTCGTCGAATCTGTCAACATGGACGACAATGCCGCTCTCGCGAGCGAGTTCGAGCTTCCGTTCAGGGACCTAACACCAACGTTACTAAAATACTCAGTTGGGAAACTCGCCGTCGAAACCTAGGCCGTTGGCGTCCACCAAAACCGAGCTAAATACGACAACAGCGCCATCCTTTATCATTTGTCTGTACTGTGGTCACCTTAAGCTTTTTTTGAAAGCATGTTTTTGCCTAAAAACGAACGGAAAAGACTCCTTTTGTATGAAATTTATTGGAGTTTAGTACAAAATGATTGCGAACTAAAGATTTTAAAATCTTTAGTTTGCAAGGTTTTGCGGCACAATTAATATAGTTTTTATACAACCATGCCTCAGCGGTGCTTTCAGGTAGCGCGTCCCGACCTAGGTGCATTTTAACTTCGGTCGAAACTCGCGGCGCGTCCGCTGGGGAGACGGGGGTGGCGCCTCTGTAACCTCTTCCGCTGTATCTGTTTCGGCGCCAGAATGGCCGATTAAAGCCAAAATAGAAGTCACGTGCGGTTCCTCGAGTGGCCGCTGCGGGAGAAATGGCGGTGTTGGGTTCGCCATTTGCTCGGATCTCGAGGACAGATCGGGACCACTTTTTCGGAGCAGTCTTTATGGCAGTTTCCCAACTGAGTCGTTTAGTAACGTTGCCTAACACCAACGGAACGGAAGTACGTGTGTGGCGGCCTCTGCCATCACCCGGCGGAGACCGTCCAGCCGGCAACAAGCGGCCCGCAGGCTCTGAAGTAGTGAGCAACATTCGCGTGGGCGAGACCATAGGGTTATTATAATGTACGCTAGACGTTCAAGTGGCGCTAGTGTGCTGACGCAAATGGAAGCAGACAGCAACCAGTCGAAAATTGACTTCCGGTAATGCATTTCTATGGGAAAGTGTGAGTGCATTTTCTCCCTGCGCTCGATCAAAAGAGCAAATATCCCGAATAATTCGTACGTACTAGGTAGCTTGGAACATTTCTCCGTCAGGCCGACTAAATAATTGGTCAGTTACGGCGTTTTTCTTTCAAACTCATCGCATTAAAAATGGTGCTAAAACGGCCTCGTACGTGTATTTATGTGCACTGTCGGACACTCGGCGCATTTCAGCATGGGGGATATACGTGCCAAACGAACGAAGGACATCTGGAAATTAAGGGAGACGGCAAGAACTACGCAGTAACACTGGATCAGTAACTACCCGCGCATGCACGATCAAAATAACTTGAAGGCCACGTAATATATTCCGATTTTAAATAAGTAAGTACCACTTTATTCTTTCTGCTCTGTGCGAACTTCTACGTTCAAAATATCACCAGCAAGATGGAAATCTTTGAGAACAAGTGCCCGATAAAAGCTACCGGGCAGAAAAAACAATACGAAGAGACACCTTTCATAGCCCACGTGCTTTATTATTTACGTTTTGAATGCTTTTATCCGCTCATGCACGACGGGGTCGTTTTCATATAGTGACAGGACTGTCATATTAGCAATATATAAGCGTCACCGGAATGCTGGCGAGCTTTGAACACACTCTATATTCCTTTCGATTGTAATTTTGCTTTGAATCGTCGCTTGTTTTTACATGCGTGCTGCAGAACACACGTTTGGGATTGAAATGTAGCGAAGTTAAACATTGTTCACTAATGAAGAAAAATGCGCTAACTAAAGCAATTACACTTTTACGATGTTAATCAAGGTACATACTATTCTTTACGACCCAAATAACCAAAGTGTTCCGTGTTATTTTCCGGCGAAGAGACAAAATGCACGCGCGTTTTTCCATGAGAATGCACAGGAGCACCGCAAAAGTAGTCTGGTTGCTGTCTGCTTCAATTTGCGTCACGGAAGTCGCATAGACACTAGCGCCAGTTGAACCTCTAGCGTACATTAAAATAACTCTATGGGCGAAACGAGAATGTCGCGTTGCCGAAGGGCAGGGACACGGGGGAGATGCCGAGGGGAAAGCGGCAGCGACCAAGCCGTTCCGGGACCCGGTTCCTCCGCGGGGGACGCTCCCCAAGAAGAAGAAAATAAACAGCACCATTTTTGGTTTTCACCAAAGTCGGACCTCTTTTCGTCGTCAAAGAACACGAACAGCAACCCACACGTGAAGACTAGCGTCGCCCGAACAAATATTGGTCTTCAGTCGACCGTTAGAAGAGCCATCTACAACGCACAAATTCGGCATGACTACCATTTTGCAGAATCCTTCGAGTACCGTGTCGACCATATTCCCAAAGTAAAAACGACACCGACATCTGAAACCGTGTTCTTTTTTTATTTTATTTTTTTGCTCATAGTTGTTCGTTGCCCGTTTCGCGTTCAGCGTAGGAAAGAGAAAAAACAATTATGCTGTTTTATTTACGGTTTAGTAATCATTTCCGGTCCGATTTATACTTTTCATTGTTAATCAAGCAGAAATTAGAACAGTACTCCTAAAAATCGCGAACAAAACGTGACCGAGGGAACGTCACTCGTTTCGACCAGTCGCTGACGCGTCTCTTGTGACGTCGCGCTTCTTGGCCTTGCATCGGTCACGTGAGCTCCGCTTCTCCCGCAACTCTCGGGGCGTCGCCCCAGTCGATCCCGGTACGATTATTACCGCGACTGTTTAATTGATTTGCGCAGCACACAAGCGCCGGTTTCGGCTGAAATTTGGGCATCGTGGCCTGAGACGTGCCTGGAACCCAGTTCAATCGCCAAAAAAATATACGAAAATGCGTTCATTGTCCCTTAAATGCCTTCGCACTAATTTGAATATTGCAGCTCGCCTCGAAGCGAATATCAAATAGCGTATTATTCGAAACTACTATTAGAAATTTTTAATATTTTCTCACAATTCTACAAACGGATCATTTGTTGCAACACAAATTGTTTGTGTTTTTCCAAGTTAATTATAGAGGCCCTGTAATGATTTTGGAAATACGGTACATTAATTGTGAGAATTGGTTCCACAACCCTTAGAATGAAAAAAAGCGAAGACTGTTTTTGCTTATGTCCTCTAGTTTTTATTTTTAAAATTTAAACAAATATTAGTTTGGTGTCCGTGAACGCTCGATCACCGTCTTCCGAGTCGCGTGAGCAGCAACGTGATCGTGACACACGGAGAGCTTCTGGTCGTGTTCTCAAACACATTTACAAACTCTCCTCATTCTTCGGTGGTCCGGAGGTGTTCCTCTCGAATCAGAACACTTTTCAACCTTTGGTTCAATGATGTCGGATCAGCCCAACCGATTGGCGTCGCTGATGTTGTCCGTGGCTAGCGGATCAGAGATGAGCATGTTAATGAGCGTTTTGCCCCTTCGTCACGGAAGCAGCAGAGAAGGCATGGTTTCGTTGGTTTTGACACATTTATTCGTGTTCAGACAAGGTTAATAGAACTTGGCTCTAAACAAAGCAGATAATTGCACAACTTGCTAATTCACTACAGTATACCTCATGAAACGTTATGCTGCGGTTGGCCGCCTTGTGTGACTGCAGGTTGAGAAATGGTCAGTTGTTTGCTTTAAATTTACATGAACTTGTGCTATTCTAGGGGAAAGCGAAGGTTATTTTTTTACTGGTGCTAGGTGAGGTGAACGAAATAAAAGTTACACGCTGTCAATAAAATCATTGCAGCGCCCCTCAAAATTGAGGGTACAATAAAGATTGTCCCGAATAATGAGAGTCGGCACAGAAGTCCGTCGAGATTAGGATGGAATGGTCATCTGTGCTGTATCTCATATATGTATATATATATATATATATATATATATATATATATATATATATATATATATATATATATATATATATATATATATATATATATATATATAGGGTGTATTTTTTATTCTTGCGGGTTTGTTTAAAAAAGAACATTAAAGCTACACTTATGCGGTTTGTGCGAGTGAGTTATACACCCGGGGGACATTATAGTCGGTTAATTAATTAAAATTCACTAATTAACTTTTTAATTAGTAAAAATAGACATATGGTTTCAATTACAAACTTGCTGAGCGTCGTATAAAACCCCTAAATCAGTCATTTTGAGAAAGACTTTCAGCGCGTGAGAAGCGTAGTAGAGCACTAAAGTTACCACTCGTGGAGCAGGTACAAGGCCAGCGGTTTCGGTAAGGCGCCCGCGCAATTTTTCGGTCTCTTATCTAGCCCCAGTCTTGTACCTGCTCCACGGGTGGTAACTTCAGCGCACTACTGCGTTTCTCATGCGCTCAGTCATTCTAAAAATTACTGATCTAGGGGCTTTGGACGACACTCAGCAAGTTTCTAATTGGAACCATATGTCTATTTTGACTAATTAAAAATTTAATTTTTGAATTTCTATTAATTAGACGGCTTATCGCGAAGATTAGCCACCCACATAATGTCCCCCTGGGCGCATAACTCACTCGCACAAACCGCATAAGTGTAGCTTTCTCGGCTTTTTTTTTAAACCAAATCTGTACCAATAAAAAAACACCCGGCATATATATATATACACAGGGATGGGCAGTATTTCAAATACAAGTATTTGAAATACGTATTTCAAATACTTTGTGTATTTTGTATTTGTATTTAATTACTAATTGGGTAATCTATTTGACGTGTGTATTTAAATACTAAAACGTGGGTATTTCAAATACAATTGTAATTACATACAATTTTGTGGGCGAAAATACATTTCTCAGATTTATTGTCACGACAATTCTTGTTTTTATGCATGTGGTTGTAAGATATAGTTTCCACCTTTTATTCGGCCATGGGGCTTTTTTTCTTTTTCTCCTCCGGCTTTACTTTAAAAGCACTGTCCAGAGCAGGAAGAAAACTGCGCTCTGCACCGAATGCAGTGTCTCTCAATCAAGCACAAACGTTTCGGGACTTCGTGATTACGGTGCTAGTCCAGGGCAAGAATAGTGACGAAATCGACGTTTACAGGCAGACTGGCTAAATAAGTGCCTGTGACAACTTGTGATGTTCTCCAGCCTGATTTCCATCCATATTTTTGCCTGGAACATTCTAAATGCGCGGGTCGTCCAGATTTTCGTAACTGGCGCGAGTTGCAACAATAAAACATTATCTAACTAGTGCTGCGCATCTTGGTCGTCTCGGTTCTTTGTTGGTCTATACCAAAATGTAATCGACAAAAAAAGCTGCTTGAAGCTCTGTACTTTTTTCACCTATTACGTCTAAGCTGATTACATTTTTTTTGTGATTATAGTTCTATTACGTTACAAAAGCCTCGCGCACAAACTCCCGAGTGTGCGATGCAAAATTAAAATGAGATACCCAGAAACCCGTTGCAGGTGCCCTAAAGTCGCTGACCCAAATTTTGAGGAATGTATTTGGAAAAATATTTGGAGGAGACCAAATACATTTGGTTGTATTTGTATCTTGTATTTAAATGCTTTTTTGGAAATGTAATTAGATTTTTAATTAAATACATTTTTGACGAAGTATTTTGTATTTGTATTTCGATACATATTTGCATGTATGTTGCCCATTCCCTGTATATACATATACACACATACACACACGCACGCACACACACACACACACACACACATATAGATATGTGTGTGTGTATTTTTATTTTTTTTTTCGCAGTGGACTATAACTGCGTTGTGCCTTTTTTCCACAGCTCCTGAAAAAAGTGCCTAAGGAGCGGGCAAGCTTGGATGAAGTTATGGCTCACCCATGGGTCGTGGACAACGCTGACACGACTGTCGAAGCATCAACCCTCTGAACGAAGTCTCGGTGTTGCGAGAGTTAAGTGAGCAAAGCATGTTGCAGACTTTGCAACTCATTTGTTTAACATTGCATCAGACAATGAGAGGTTTTTTTTTCCCCTTCCAACTTTTTTAGTCCCCGCCCCCTTTTTTTTTTGTGTAGTTTTTTTAACATGTGAATGTGTGTTTCATAACGTGAAGTATGGTGTGGAATTTCAGATATCGTCAATAAACAGTTCAATGCAATTTTAAAGTTTTTTTGTTGCCCCTATTCCACAAGCTCGCCAAATGTGGTGACAGGTACTGCAAATTCTCCGTCACTCTAGGCATGTGCAGACTAGATTAGCACCATAAATATGCCGTCGAAAGACATGCTCACAGCCCTCTAGCAATGCAGGCAATGGCGGCATACTAAAGCTTCCTCTGGTAGCTTCGAATTTCTTCACCAGGTTCTTTTACATGACAGCACAGCTGAAGCAATAGTTGACACTGGTATGCTTCCAAATAATGAGGGTCTGTAAATTTTGAGTCTGGAGGTAGATGAGTAATGGTTTATAATAATTGTTATTGGTCAAATCTTTAGCACACCTGTGAATTAGGCATCTGTGGGCGCATCTGTCTTCGAAGATTCAGCAGTAAGACTGCGGTGTGAATGCGGTTTTGACATCTGCTTTCTTCAATTCAATAACTGGTGGACACAATTCATTGAAATCGCAGCACTGCATCGAAATTGTGCTTCAAGACATTTTGTTTGTGAAAATTTGATTTTATCTGCCTCAGTGAAGTTATTCTATTGCCCTCTCCCGGACGAAACAAACCTGACCAGGCAATGCGTACACGACAGGCACAGTCCATACATTGACCAGACAACTCCGTAGACCAGGGACAGTGGGATTTGCTGGTTGAAATGCTTGCCCACGAGTTAAGTGCAGTGCTCTCAAAGACAAAAGTAAAAAAAGCTCTAGCAGTCATTTTTGAAGGTAAAGCATTGGCAGTTCTCTTCCTGGCTAGGGGGTGACATAGAGAAAAAATAAACTCCAACCACAATTTAATACGCAAGTCATTTTTGCACACTCATAGGCAGGCTGGCGCCTCTTGCGGAGCCCATTTCCAACAACCTCGCACGACGAAAAACAAGAAAAAAGAATTCGAATACTTGTAGGCCGAAAGATTTGTAACCGACGTCTTTGACTTCTGGTTCCGTCCCGAACTGTAAAGGCGGAGGACGTATAAGAGAGACTATTTTTGAACTCGGAGTGCATTCGAAAGGATGGAGGTCACTGTAACAGAAAGACGTGGAGCAATGCTGCATCATGAGGGGTACTCGTACGCATTCAACAGAAGGAATACTTATACTTATTGGATTTGTCGCAGAAGGGTTGTATGCAAGGCAAAAGTAACAACTGATTTGGCTGCCAGTCGGATTGTTGTTCGTTCAAGCCAGCATATGCACGCGGGGCACCCAACAGAAATCAACCTGCTGAAGACTCCAAGGAAAAGCGGATGAGTGCCAAAACCTTTCTACATTGAGTATTGTAAGATTAGATTTTCGAACCATTGGGGTATGTCACAGTGGGAAGTCGTGAAACTCCTTATCAGGGAATGTGGGCAGTTGTTGAAATTTACATCTTACTGTCGTCCCCTGCCCGCTTGATGTGACCAGTTGCCCGCGTGACGAGTCATCCTGTGACGAATGTTCCTATGTGACAAATCGTCCTGTGACGAATACGCCTCCGACGAAACTTTCGAAATAAAGCGAAATTCGAGAAAAGAAAAGTTCTTTTACGTTCAGTGCGGTCAGGTTCGGTGCAATTTAAGAACCAGTCAAAAAGTCGTTGCAGGGTCCCTTCAAGCTGAGACTAGAAGCTCCGCCTTCAGCGCGAGCTTTCTGCCCTTGCTAACACAAGTGTGAACGCGCAGGCACGCGCAACCAAAGCACCAAAGCACTGCGGAAGTCAGCGAGCTCGCGCTGAAGGCGGAGCTTCTAGTCTCAACTTAGAACGGAGTAGAAAGCGCTCTTGGGACGTTGAAACTCTCAAGTACGATTTCAGTCTTCGGCGTCTCGAGAACAAACCTTCCGCTTCAGCGGTGCTAACGGGCGTGGTGGCCAGGATTTGCAGCAGGCGGTTTAGATAAGGACACAAGTTCTCCGTGCAAAGGCAAGTTGCCTGCACCGCTGAGAGGCTTGCGAGTCGCAAGTCGAGGCTTGCGACATAGAGACCGACGCCGTTGGCCACAACATCGCTCTCGCCAAGGGAGGACGATGCTGCCAGACGTGAATGTGCCGAATATGTTGATGACCTTGATGACACGTTTGTGGTTGTAGGTCAATAATCATTAGTGAAAAAAGCTTCAAGTGACAGCTTGGCTATTGAACTCAGTACTTCCACGACTCACGTGCTGAGCGGAAGATTATAAACATTACCCACTTCAGCGATTAAAGATGTCAACTAGGTACGCTTTGAAACCAAGTGACATTGAGCATTCCAAAGTTGCTTCCACGGTGCATATGCGGCCACTTTTCTCTCGCTTCCTTTTTTTTTTTTTTATTAGGGGGGATTTTTTTTTTACATTTTGGTTGGTGTATTACTGAAAATTAAGGAGTGCAGGCTAGTAAACTTTAAAAAAAGGAAGACGGGACGAAAACAAGAAAGAAAAAAAAAAAACACCTAAACTGTTTGAATTTTCGTCGTATTGTTTTCATTATAGGGTTTTCTCCTTGAAACTCAAAGGTTAGGGAGACTTTAGTCAAGCCCCTTGCATTCTCCGAGGCGAGGCCAGCGTCCTTGGAGGTCAGGACTTCGCGGCCTTTGTGACGTCGGGAACTGAGGCATTGGCACCTGCGAGCCTGAAGAAAGGCTTTGGCTAAACGGCCGAGCTTGGCGAGAGCTCTTCGGAGAGCCGGAGCCGGATTTGCGTTTTTCACGCAGTCCACGGACAGGGTCGTCATCTTCGTTTTGCTTTGGAATGTTGTGGGCCCGGCCCCTTGCCGCACTGGGTTGTCGAACAGAAAGAGAAACACATAAGATTTTTATTGCCTTGAGAAAACAACGAAACACACACACGCACGCGCACGCACACACACACACACACGCACACACACACAAACTGACACTGGAAAGGGGAAAGGGGGAAAAAGAGAAACGTTGAAACTTCGGGGAATGTTTCAGCCCTTAAACATTCCTCCCCCCCCCCCCCCCCCCCCTTCCCCCTGGCAACGCCATTGCTCCCCGAATTCCGAGATGTATTTTGCATAGTTTTGTAGGTATATAATTTTCAAAGTTTTGCCCAAGCAACAGTTGTATGAACGAGAGACAGTTTGAGTAGCAGCAAGATCCCAGCTCGTGCGGCCTGGCTAGCTGCGTCGTTTGTTGTGGGAAAATTTAGACGCTAAAGAGGCGTTCTAAATAAGGACACTCACATCAATGCTAACGTCGTTATATAATGCAAATGCTTTTGTGTACATACAAGTTCGAATAGATACTTCAAGCCCTCTGATATCTCGCTTTTCCAGCTTCTGAGGGTTTCCAAAGAGGATTATCAGCGGACCCATATACTGTAAGAATTCGATACTCCCACGTCTATTCAATTGGACGTTATCGTGAAAGTAGCACCTAAAAAATTGAAAGACGTTTACGATTTTCTGTAATGCCGAATTAGAGCGCAGCTCTTGAGGAGGAGGAGGGGAGGGTGTGCCCTACCTCCCCTCCTTCCCCTCGCCTCCTCCTCTCCTGCTCCCCTCCCATTTAGAGGAAAATCTTCGCTAAATTTCCCCGCCAAATTTTGCGGAAAAAGTTCCCCGCACAATTTTGCGGAAATATTTCTCCTCTATATTTAACGGAAAAAAATCCCCGCTATATTTAGAGAAAAAATGTCTCCGCTAAACTTAGCGGGAAAATTTTTCGCTAAATTGAGCAGTTCGATTTAGCGGGGAAATTCTTTCCTTTAAATTTAGCGGGAAAATTTACCCATAATGCAACGCGCGGTTACGCCGACGGCGACGGCGACGGTGACGCCGCTCAAGCCGGAAACGGGCACCTAAGGGCTCATTCACACTGGAAGCGGATCCGCGTTCGCAAAGCGGTTGCGAACGCGGTTGTATAAGGATTCAGTACAATTGCACGCGCATTTGATGACATCAAATGCGCGTGCAATTGCACTGGATCTTTATACAACCGCGTTCGCAACCACTTCGCGAACGCGGATCCGCTTCCAGTGTGAATGGGGGGTAAGAGCCGCGCTCTAGAATGAATTTCATTGCAACTATCGGCATGGCAAGAGCTCAGCAGGAACATTTTAGCCTTAATTCCCGTTATACGCTGCCATAAGGCTCAGTTCTTGTTCTAGCGTCACAACAGTATTTTCACCAGCCCCAAGCAGTGACCGTAACGTAACAATCACTTGAACTCTCCCTCTCCTTGCGATTAAGGATTAGTTTTATACGTGAAGCTTTAACGGTCCCGGGGGTATAGTATTGTTTTTCGTTCATGGGGGGTCCGCGCGTGCGTGCGGCCATTGGCGTAATTGGGGGCGTTCGGTGCTTCTCGCTTTTAATTTTGGCTCGCTGGGGCAATAAACGTCTGGTGCCACATCGCTGGTGGTTTATAGCAGCGTTTGTTGACTGCAGCCATGTTATACATCGTCCCATTCAGAGAGACTGACATTTGTTTTGGAACTCTCCATACCTCTCCGAGTAGATAGAACCGGTCAATGGAGACGACATCCACCCAAATAAATCCTTGCAAAAAAAAAATAATAATAATAATTATAGAATTGTTGTAGAAGACCTAAAGAAATAAAATGTTCAAGGACCAAAAAGAATCGCACACCTGCGACTCCCTGTTCTTTTTTCATGCCGTTAGAAAGCAAGCAACAACTTCAAGTCCTCATCTGCAGGAACAAACGACTGCCTGAAATTGTTTCGTTACAGTCTGACATCGTGACAATCCGCAAGGACGAGACGTGAACAGTTTGGGCAAAACGCTATGGACATTGTGTCTCCGCGTCGCGGCCCCGCTTATGATCTCGGATCGTGACGGCGCGTGAGAGAACCGCGCTGACGCTTTCAGAGCGACGAGGCGACGCTGGGAATTTTTTGCGAAATGTTCCCTCGGCCATCTGGTGAAACCACCGCTAATTTGGCCCCAGCTGCGGACGGTGCTGACTGTGCATCGATATTCGTGTCACTTGCGTGACTCTTTCACGCGCTGCGTGACAAAAGATTGTTACTCGGCGGCCTGGAGG